GTGGATGCTTCAGCTGATTTGAGCTCTAATCTGCTGAAGTTTTACTAATGCCGTTTTTAACAAGACTTTTGTGGCGATTGTTACTGATAACTTCGATTGACTAGGCAAGGCTTTTGATTTTTTTTCCTTTTCTGTATTTCAAAACAAAAGCGATACTGGTTCCACTGGGAAAGTATTGTTTTTATTATGTTAACAATAGCACAAAAAGGTTGCTTGTAGACCTGACAATTGTGGAGATATTCTCGATTTATTTCAGTTGTGTATTTTCTGGTGGAAATTGCCTCTAAACCCCTCTCAATTAAACAGTGATTTATTTTGTGTCAGGACTGAGAACGTACACCCTGAATTGTGATTTCTAAGTGTTTATTGACTGCTTGGAAAGTCTGTGGGTCAGCAGAATCTCTGTAGAGGGGAAAACACAGGTTAGTGACCACATAAATCTGACAGAGGATGATTATGAGCATGTGAGTCACTAACCTTGTTAAAAAGTTCAGTCCGAGCCCAGAGGAAGGGGTGGAATCCAGCCGGATGATTATCCACAGCACACAGCGGACGCCGCCCAGAGAGTTTCAGGCTTGGAAGCCAAGAAGGCTGCTGAGCCAGTTGATGAGGAAGACCAGGACTTTCCTAATGGAGAAGCCAACACAGGTGTCAATGAGGTAGCAGAAGTGCAGGCCAGAAGATCAGAGACCTGAGGAGGTACTATAGGGAAATCCAAGCCGTGGTCAGGAGACAGATCCAAGGTCGTAGGCAGCCAGAATCCAGCAGTAGTCCAAAGACAGATCAGGCAAACAGATCAGAACGGCAGCAGGCTGGCTCAGAGGTCCAGCAGCAGACATGATCAGGCAATCAGAGTAACAAACTGGGTATGCTAGAGAGCTCTCACGTATGGCTCAAATAATCTGGCACTAATGGCTGGGACCAAAAAGTTTAAAGAGAAGCTGGAACAGGTGGATCTCATGAAAGGTAATGAAAACTGGGCAGAGCTAGGCAGGTGGATGGAATGAACCAATAATCCAGTCATCACTGCCAAGATCATGACATTTTTTACTAACTCTATTGACAGTTTCTTGAAATAAATTGAAGAATTCCTCCATTTTAAAATCTTCTGTTCTTGAATATTCTTGGTTTGCTACATTGTCCTTCAAAGTTATCATTGGATTATTTTCTATTTATTTTGTTATTGTTGCATGGCATATGAGCTTAGATGCCTTAATTGCTTCCAATACACTTGTGACAAACACTAGTACAATAGTGATTAATACCAATAGGAAATATTATACTGCTTTTCAATGCTACTTCCTCATTCCTACATATTACTGTTATTTTATTAAACTGTGCCACATAGTCATCAGCAAGAGGCAATAAATGTTTCTTACTGACACTACATTTGTTTAAGTGAACTATACTGGACTATTTAGGTCAATATATTACTGATATTATCTAGGGAAATTAGGTAATTTGACAGTAGCAAAAAAAAGGTGCTTACAGATTTAGTTCTCAATCTGTTGATATACTTCCTCATCGTTGATAATACAATAGAGAGCATTTTATCTTTCAGTCAGATCTCTCTGTCACTGACCTAACAGCATGGCTCAAAGCTGGTTTATTTTTCTCACACTTTTTCTGGCTTTTTCACCAGGAGGTAAGTGACTCAAGTTCAATGTAATCTTTAATTTTGCTACTTTTAAATGAAAATGAAACCCCTCTGTA